CATCACACCATCCATCCATCCATCCATCCATCCATCCATCCATCCATCCAACTATCTCTCTATCTATCTATCTATCTATCTATCTATCTATCTATCTATCTATCTGCTGTCTTTCTATCTGTCATATCTGACTCTATCTACCTCGCTATCTCTGTATCAGTCATTTCTCTGTCCATCATCAATGTATCCATCTAATAAAAATCCCCACCCTGTTGGTTTTGTCTGTCTGGAGAACCTTGACTGCTACAGTTTCAAAGTAGCTTTCAGTTCTCTAAACATTCTTAGAAACAAGGAGTGGTACCTGTATGTACACTTGAAAACATATGTGCAGTATACTGTGTATATGTATTTGCATGCAATATAGTGTATGTGTGCAGTCAAATCACAACAATTCTACCTAATAAAACTGAAAAATGAAAAAAAAGTAAGCTCACAAGGGTCCCTTCCTTTCAGCTTCTCGGCTGGCTCTTGAGCTCCTCTGGGACACCCCCAGATGGTTCCCAGGACACTGTTCCATGGACGCTGAGGTAGTGGATCTCCCTAAGGCATGGCTCTTCCCCTAGGCTGATGGCTTCCCAGCAAGGCTGTGCTGAGCCTTCGATAGTGGCGAACTGCTCTGAGCATCACGGGGTCCAGCTGCTCCCAGGGAAGAGACATGCAAAGTCCAGAAGAGGCAGAGGCAGGAGATAAAACAGCAGGACATAAGTAGCCCCACAGCAGGACATAAGATCACCGACAGGTGTGCAGACCCCCGCGTGCTCCCGGACACGTAAGCGCACGGGGAACGTGGGGCATTACCCTCGGGAGACTCGGATTAGAAATAACCCGAGCACCCAGCTCCAGGGAGGTCAGCTCCTTCCGCGAGTGACTGTTTCCATGGCTGCACACGACTCAAGCCATCAGCCCAAACCTGGCTACTTCCTCACACCGACGGCAAGAGAATAAACTTCCAGGGCAGGGAGTGAAAATATACAGATCAAAGAGGTTTGCGGTGCATGAACCAAACACGTCCACGTGCCACGTGTGGACCCCTGGATCCTGGTGCAAACTGACTAGCTGTAAAAAGATGACTCGGGGGGTCGATAAAGACACAGCCCTGAGGCATTTGCACGAAGGTGACAAGGAATTAGGGGTGACGGCTGATCCTTGCGTGAGAAGGACGGGCGTGTGGTTGTGCTGAAGCCCTTCCGCTCCCGGAGCCACGCGGACAGGCTTCACGCTGAAGTGTGGTCATCGCTGGGACTCGCTTCGAGTTCCCGGCAGCCCACGGCCCAGCCCCCGGGCCCCCGCGGCTCCCCTCAGATGCAGTGTTTCCCAGGACCTTTTTCGAACGGCCCGTCCAGAATCACATGCGCCCCGTCTCCCCTCCCGCCCTCGGAGCGCGTCACCCACACGCCGCCCACTTCCTCCTTCGACCGGCGGTCGGCCTCCTCCCTGGGAAGGCAGCTCCATCGGGGTGGGGAGTTTTTCTCTGTCCCCCCACCCAGTGTCCCCGAGGCACCCTCCGAGCATAAAACAGAGCCCGGTGGGTGCACAAACTGGTGTCCAGTAAGTGTCTGCTGACCAGGTGCGTCCTCTGTTTAGGGACGGGACTGACACCAGCTGCAAAGTTGCCCTGACAGAGGTCCGTCCACGGGAGAGGACGCGGGGAGATGGCTGCTCCCCCTGGGCCTGCATTGCACACCCTGTGGGGCAACGCCGCGGTCAGCCAGTCCCGAAACTGCTCCTGCCATCGCTGATTCCCTGCGGGAGCCCAAGGCCGCCGCGGCGCAGCCCACGATGTCAGCCCGAGCCTCTCGGCCGGCAGAGGCGGGATGGCGG